GACTGCAGGGTCTGCCAGGGGTCTTGGAGAAGGGGATCCTTCCCGGTGGGGCTAGCAGGGAACCTGCCCGGTGGCCAGAACCTGGGGCCAAGTTGGGCAGGTCTTCCCTGGAGTGGCTGGTGCCCAGGGATGGGGTCTGGGGCCGGCATAGTATTCTTTACAAGGCTTATAATGTGTTTTTCTTTAGGCAACTTTATTGACATAATTTATGTAATAAATGGCTCATAATTAAGGCACAAAATTTTAAGGTTTTTTTTTATTATCTACTGACTACCAACACTCTCTAAATTAGAGTGTTTCTCACCCATGAAAAAGCCATATACCCATTAGTAGTTGCTACTTGCTCTCCATTTCCATTCCTAACTCTGGGCAAATGTCTCTATAGATTTGTCTGTTTGGACATTTCATAGAAAGGGATTCATGAAATATTTTATTATTTTGCCAACTTCTTTTGTTTAGTGTAATTTTTAAGGTTTACTCAGGTTGTGGCATATTTCCATACTTTGTTCTTCTTATTGAGAACATTTTAGTAATAAGAAAAACACAAAGAAGAAAAGTAAAAGCAAATTCTTGTTGCAAGATAGCATTGCTGACACATGGATGTGCCTCTTTCTCACCTCTTGGGTGATTTTGTGGACTTGTAAGTGTGCATTTGCATTTGTATGCCTGTGTGTCATTGAGCTAATGGCAGCTGTAGTGTTACATCCTGTTTGTGGCACCTGGCTATCCTCAAAAGTGGTTTCTTGCTGGGCAGTGGTGGCATATCCCAGGTGGATCTCTGTGAGTTCTAGGACAGCCAGATCTACACAGAGAAGCCCTGTCTCAATAAACAAAAACAAAAACAAGTGGCTTCTCATATCACTGGTTTTCTTCGAAAACATGGTCCTGTGTCATTCCCTCATGTAAATATACTACAAGTAACAACTTCTTCCTTACTGTTGAAAATTTAGGTGATTTTTTTCATATTCTTACTATTAAGTAATTATAAATAATCTTGAATTGGAACTCACAAGAAATTTAAAAGAAAACACACACACACACACACACACACACACACACACACACACACACACGTGATCACTTTATGTCACTATTCTGATTCCTGTCATTCCACTCCTTTGAAAAGAAGAAAGTAAATTGTCATGTTTCCCAGCCATATTCCTTCCCTTCTTGGGGATTTCTTTTGAGTTATAAAGTACATTAAGCCTTCAATAAATCTAGTTCAAACTAAGTTCTCAAGAACCACAGCTAGTTTTGCAAATATTTAAACAGTTGTAGTCATTAGGTGTTGGAGAAGATATAAGAAGACAAGTGTCCTATTTGTGGAACTGTAAACTGAAGCAAGATTGTCTCTGACAAAAATAATTTAAATATTCACTCATTTGACCCAGTGAGTCCACTCTAAAAATGTAAGGAATGGATTGTTAAGATCAAGCCAAGAGGAACAGAAGGGGTAGCACTATGTTTAAGAGCACTTATTGCTCGGACAGAGGACTTGCGTTCAGTCCCTAACACCCACATGGTAGTTCACAACTGTCTGTAACTTCAGATCTAGGGGTTCCAACACCATTCCTGGCATCTGGAGACAGCACACACATATGTGGTGCACATCATGCATACCGTCACTCACACATACACATATATAAAATCAAATATTCTTTAAGATGATCAAGAGACATATGACTCACCTTGTCCATAAAAATCTTAACATAAGAACCCTAATACATTTAGTATTTATTGTCTTTTAGTGTGCATCAAATACATTACCCATTTTGTCCCCTGTCAGCTGGAATTGAACCCAAAACCTCATGCACAATGATCAAATGTGATCTACCACTGAGCTACATTCCTTCAGTGGGAATTAATATTTACATAGATTATTTTAAATAACAGTTTGAGTTTGAGAGCAAAATTGGATAGGAAGTGCACGGTTCCCAAAGTTTCACAGCACATCAATGCACAGCCTCCTTACACCAATATCCTGAACTGAAAGGATGCATTTGTTACATCAGGCAACCTGCACTGGCCCTCTCTCTCCATGGTTTTTTGCTTTTTCCACAATGTCATACATTTAGAATTTTACAATATGCAGCTTTTTATGACCAGCTTCTTTCACTTGGTGACATACCTTTAAGGTTCTCCAAGTCTCTTCATGGTTTGATAGCTTTTTTCCTTCTGGGAACTGAATAATATCTGTTTGTACCAACATTTATCAATGAACTTACTAAAGAACATCATGGCAGTTACCAAGTTTGGGCAGTTGGGAATGGAGTTCCTGTGAAGAGTCTCATACTGTTGTTTCGATGTATGTGGACATAGATTTAAACGTATTTGGGTAAACACCATGGCTCCCAGTTGCCAGTTCATCCAGCAAAGATGTTTAGTTTTGTGGAAACTGACGAACCATTTTACAAAGTGGCTGTGCTGTTTTATATGCTCACCAGCAATGCACATTCTTGCTGACATTCGGTGCTCATGGTGGTTGGACTTTTCCACACTCCAGTAGGTATACAGTGGAATCCTGTTGTTGTTTCAGTTTGTAGTTCCTTAATATGCATGGTGTTGAGCATCTTTCTACGTGCTTATTTTCTATCTTCATACTTCCATTAGTGAAGTATCTGATCATGTCTTTTGTCTACTTTATATCAGGTCATATTGTAATACAGAGAACTTTTAAGTTTTAAACTGTTTCTTTCTAAGAATTAACATGCATTTCTTTTAAGTGACTGAAGTAATGCCATCTTCTCCTGACTTCGCTGTGTATCTGCTTAGATACTTCTCAGCCCTCTGACCTATAACAGTCATGTCTGCCTTGTCAATGCATTTGAGATTTCTATGATGATAACCATGGTCCAGATGTATGAGTCAAAGTAATTAATGTTTAAAATAATCAAAACAGGTTTAAGTAGAAAATAATTTTCATGTTATGCCTGAAATAACCATCATGTTTTGACTAAAAAGATGTTTCAAGCTTACTCTGGCCCTTACCTGGTGTTGAGGTAATTGTGGCTTTTGCTTTGAAAGATGCAGTGCCCCTGAGCTTCAGTGCTGAGAGACTTTGAGGCATAAGCCTGTTCTTGGTCACTGGTCAAAATTAAAGGGCTCTGATACACTTAATTGGCTTAGTTAGTATGGTAACCTATATCTTTCTCAAATGAAATTATTATTACCCTGTGGATCAATGTATAATCTTATGCTCATGCTTCTGAGCAATGGGGAGCACTCAGTTGACATTCTCTTTAGGTAATAGCCTTCATTTCCTCTTTTGGAATTTTTATCTAACTGTTGGCACCTAGAAGAAAATGCAGCTTAATTGTAATTTTAAATCTAGGATCCAGAAAAGGCAGGGCTATCACTCAAGTAGCAGTATTCAGGGAGCACTTACATTTTTAGACAAAAGAATGCCACTATCTGCTTGTCAAATTATATTCATACCCTGGACATTTTTTTGTGTTTGTTTGTTTTTCAAGACATAGTTTCTCTGTGTAGACCAGGCTGGTCTTGAACTCACAGAGATCTGCCTGCCTCTGCCTCCCCAGGACTAGGATTAAAGGCATGAATCACCATGCCTGGCCTTATTTCACTCTTGTAACAAACAAATCTACAACAACTCAATCAAGCCTCCAGCTGCTAAGTGTGAGATGGAAGAGATGATCTCTGTTGTGCCAGTCTGAAGTTATTATGGTAAGTTCAGCTATTACCATTACAGCAAGTATGGCTATTACCAAGGAAACTGGAGGAAATTTCCCAGCATAGCCATCAATCAGTAGGGGAGCATGGACAAGTTAAGTTATGAAGCGTCTAGAGGGGCAAGGTGAACTTGGCTCTCTGGCTTGCTCAGCTAACTCTTTAAACACAGCCCAGACCCATCTGCCCAAGGATTGCATTGCACACTGTAGACCACATCCTCTACCAATTAGTGATTAAGAAAATCCTTCTAATACATGGCCATAGGCTAATCTGATTGAATGAGTCCTTCAGTTGGGGTTCCCTCTTCCCAGGAGACTCTAGGTCTATGTCAGGTTGACAGCTGAAGCTAACTATGACCATCACTGAGGCCAATCAGTACTGAGGCATTCTTACTTTGTTTCTAATGTGATGAGAATGGTGGAACTAAAGGTACTGGTGTATAAATGGAGGGATAGAGAAGTACCTGGTGCCTGACACAGAATTCCGTGATATAGAAACACTGGTCTAAAGAATGATTAAAGGAGTCTAGGGCTGTAAAACATGTTAAAGAAGAGCAAAGTCCATCTAGATGTGATCATATCTCCAGGAAATGAATGAGGCTGGTTTATTATGCATGAGTTTGCATCAGACCGTGTTCTTGGAGAATTCTGGGTAGCAGAAATTTTCTCAGTCTTTAATCTTTATAGTTATTTTAACTTTATAAAGTTTATTGAAAAGGTGTACATTTTTTTTTGTCAAAACTAAATACCAGAATGAAGATGTCTTCTTTTTCACCTATTGGTGAAAGACTGCAATCGTTCATTTTGATTTAGTCATAGATACTTGAAAATAAGTTTCAAAAATTTCCTTTTGCTATTTTTTTTGGAGGCCAGTTACTATCTACTATTGGAGGACATTAGGAAATAAATCGTAAAATTTCTGTAATATCCTGTGACAGAAACTTGAATAATTCAAACATTCATCTGATCTCTGCTGTTTTATGTTTCAGACTTTGACTGTATGGATTAAAGTTTAAACATTCCTAAAATGTCTTGCAGGATAGAATGAGTAAAACTACATCAGAGTAACCCTGTCCCATTTCTTTTTGAACATATATTGTTATTTCAATTGATACATAGTAATTGCACACATTTATGGTATAGTAAAGCATTTCAATAATGTATAATGTACATAATAATCAGATGAAGCTAACTGGTATGTCACATGAGATGTAACTATTTCCTTTCTTGCTGGAACATAGTTATTCAACATAGTCAATTAATTGTATCAACTATAATTATTCTGTAGAACATTAGATGTTATTCCTTCAAAAAAAGTACCATAGTGGGAGCTGTTAGTTATCTTTTAGCCATCCCTCTCTCTTTTTGAGGGTGCAGGACTCAAACTACTTGATAGGATGGGGTACAAGAACAATAGCATTGCACACCATGTTGAAGACTGGTCTTCCCCTTGCAGGCAGTCTCAGTAGATCTTTATAATCTGGGGAACTGAATCAGGTCTGGACTGATCTCAGCAACTGATCGGCAGCCTGGAAGAACCACATAATTATGAGCTTGCTTCTAGGCAGGTGAGAAGGCTTAGCAGGGAGAGGTCCCTGGATCCATATCTGATGACCTGGGTTTGAGTCCCATAAAATGGATGGAAAGAAGCAACGCTCAAGAATTGTCCTTTCACCTCCATGCCTGCTCCTGCATACATCCTGTCTGTCTCTGTCTGTCTCTGTCTCTGTCATTCCCATCACCCACCCTGTGTACGTGTGTGTGTGTGTGTGTGTGTGTGTGTGTGTGTGTGTGTGTGTGTGTGTGTACATCTTCCTCTCTCTATCACAGAGCTTATTTCTTTCTCCATAGGCATGGGATGATGCCACAGGAGCAAGCTTTTAATCTTTGTGCTAACCTTGATAAAGTATTATTCATATTGAATGGGTATTGTAATTCTGGTTGCAGTGGGAATCAATAATCTCATACTTGCGCATAGTTTACACACAGCCACATTAAAATGTAAGAACACACACACACACACAGACACACACAGACACACACAGACACACACAGACACACACACACACACACACACACACACACACACACAATTTTAGCACGAAAAACCTAACAGCATACACTAGAAGTCTTTGGCCTTTGCTCAGTTCTGCTAAGGTGGGTGTACTTAGGCAGTATATGCTAGTCTGTGAGAAAGAATAGACTCAGGGATACTGTAGCAGATGGGGTGAGTACCCATATACCAAAAGCCTTCTAGGGAAGTTTCTGTCGAGGAAAGATTGTTCATTATCAGAAGATCTTAATTAGGATGTAACATGAAGATGAGAGCTGAGCTTCCACATGGAGACTGAAAAAAAGAAAGAAAGCAGAGCTAGCATGGTGGCCTGGGGAGTCGTGAGAAAGGACAGGGAGAAGGCCTGGTGATGAAAGGGCTGAGAGAACTCATTAAGAGGCTGTGTGGTATTGAACTTGATGTAGCCACCTTCACCTCCACACACATGCATCACAAAAGTGTACCCACCAAGAGATTCTTTTCCTGAAAGAAAGTAGGAAATGGTTGAATTTCACTCCAGGGGTGGGAGCCTTAGGCAGCCCCAGAGTGAACTAACTTCGCACTGACAGTGAGTCTGAGAACAGTACAGGGTTTCCACTGTCGGAGAGCACTCCTCAATCTCTTTGTGGAACATTTCTACCCTGTTCTGTCTTCAGGACAACTACCAAGACAAGGCAGCGTTAACCAGAGTGAAGGATTTCAGCTTCTGTCTGTAGACTAGCCACCTGAAGCTCTGAATGGGGGGTGAGGGGGAAAGAACAGAATACGTACCTGAAAGGGTCATAGACCTGTGGAGCTCTGTTTTTAAAATATTTAAAACTTCCTTAACACCATGTTCACCCTGAAAAGTAGGAGAGGGGAGACAGAGCTTTGAGAGGACATTCTGACCATCTGCTGGGTACAAGCTGTGTGCACAGTCATAACAGTTGCTTGGAGAATAGAATCGATGAAATAAGAATTATGTAGAGACTAAAAACAAAGGGTGAAGGTAAGGGTGAGGGCTGAGGAACACAGCAGAGGCCTGAAGGTGAGGTGACCTGAAACTGTTTTGCAAGAACTTTAGGAAATGTCTTCATTGCAAGTTGGATTACAGAAAACCGTTGGAATAAATGCCAACTCCAGACTCTCATGCTAGCAATCCTACCTTGTAGGCAAGGCCCCAGAGGATTGGTCTCCCAATGAAAACACACTTAGCCCCAAGGGCCAGTGCCTTCAGCACATCATTGCCAGTTCGAACCCCACCATCCATGTAGACTTCAACTTTCCCTTTGACAGCGGCCACCACTTCTGTCAGAGCATCAATCTGAAAGAGAAATGCACACCTAGATTCAGGTATTTCTGTTTTGCTTCTCATGGGCTCAGGAGATGAATGTCCTCTCAAAGTAGAACAGGGCCGGGAAATGCAAGCAAAGGCTAAGCCCGCCACGATTTTCTCCAGTAGTGCTTGCAGTTGTGGGAACTCAGCATCCTCCCCCTGAGGCCTGGAGACTCCTGAGGACCAGATAAGACTCTCACTCACTGTCCCTCCTGCTATTTTCCCTTTCACCTCTAGTCTAGCCTCTGCCTTTTTAGAAGATCCCCTCCATGTTGGATATGCTTGGCTCCTGCTTTCATATTCAGGGGACATCTTCCCACTCACAGTGTTCACTTGGGCACTACAGAACCTGCTGTCCTTCATTTTCCTTCTATCACCTCTGTTTCTGAGATGTCATAGTGAGAGATGTTCCCACTGCTCGCGGACTAAGTCTTTTCTACAAGAATAAATATGACCAGTCGTGGCCTGAGTGTCTAAACATCAGCCTGTTTTGGGGAACGGCAGCATCATTTCTTAAGTCTTCATGAATGGGTAACTCGTCCCCAGTGTCCTCATCTGAGATGTGAAAATAGGAGTGTAGCAGCAACAATGCAAAGGACAAAGGTACACCTCTGGAAGACAAAGGAAAACGAGGTCACTTTGTCCTGATTTCTCTCAGTTCCAGACATAGACGCTAAGTTGTCTTACCCACCCCCATCCCCATCCAGCACCAGCAGGTGCCTGGCTCCTCCAAGTCTACAAGGAGGAGGACAGCAGGCCCCTCCTGAGGTTTGGGATGAGGGTCCTTGAAGAGGGGGTTCTGGGCTCCTTTGGTTACTATCTGTGTTCCTCTGAAGGAACCCAAGGAGAGGCATTGAAACAGAGGCCCCAGGTCCTGACACTGTGGAAGGAACCGATCAGAAAGCTGCCTGAGTCTGAGCAGAGTAATAATTTTTAAAAACAGGGAGGAAATAACTTTGCCCTTTGATGTATGTATGGAGTACTGGATGTATTTCGGATTTATATAATAACTGGTAAAAACTCATGTCCCAGTGTTATTTGGAATATGTTTATGGTGCTGTGAAAAAGGAAATAAGTGTATTTATAAAAACTCCTCTAGTCATACTCAGTACTGCAGTTGATAATTATTTAGAAATAGAATGCAGAAGCCAAGAGTGGTAGTGCCTATAAACCCAGCAGAGGTGAGGAGATCCAGGAGTTCAGGGTCAGCCTGGGCTACATAAAACTCTCAGAAGAACCAAAAATAGGGCCTGTGAGATTTTTCATCAGGTGAAGGCATTTACTGCACCCATCCATACACTTAGACACAGTTGAACATGCACACATACACATACAGACACAGGTGAGCATGCACACACACACACACACACACACACACACACACACACACACACATACACACAGGTGAGCACACATACACACACAAAAACACCAAATAAATAATTAAATATATAAATGTAAAAACTAAATTAAAAAGCAAACACATGAAATAATAAAAGTAGAAATTGAATTCAGCCTACAGTGCAGAATGGCTCATTTTTAATGAGTCAGAATAGGACATATACTGAACTTCTCTGAAAATGCAGTGTCTTGATTCCAAGAGGAAGCACAAAGACTGTTTTCTATGGAAACTCACAGAACAGGCTTACTCATCCCTTTTAAGGATTTTCTTTTGCAGATGCAATTGTGAGGGGCCTTGTTCAGGCTTAACGATGAGACAGAATTGTTGGTAAGGTTAAAGTCCAAAGCTGCATTCTTGTCCTTAACCTGGTTTCCTTGTTGGTTCAACACTCTGGTTTGAGTCACTGCTCAGAGAGAGGAGTGTTTTCTCAAGACAATCTCCACTGAGGTTTTGTTTTTTTGTTGTATCAAACTTTTTGCTCATTGAAAGTAAATATATAAGAAGAAATGGAAAAAAGCAGATACAAAAGCTATTATTAACAATGAAGCCCTATTAACTCAGACAGTGTGTGAGATTTGTAAGCCAGATCCCTGAAAAGCCAGGGCCCCTTTCCAATCCCATGTTCTCTTCTGTGTTAAGAGGCACCCACGACTATCCCTCTCAATCCAGCTTTCACTGAGAGACTCAGGCCAGTGAGCCTTTTCTCCACACAGGCCTGTCCTTCCAATGTTCTCACCAGCGAGGGCCTGGTAGAGAAGGAGTGGCGGGCGCCTGAAATCACTCAGCTCCACAAGCCTCAGAACACAGCTGGAGCAGCTTTGGAATTTCTGCTTCTTTGAATACGTCTTTTAAAGAATTAATCAAAGATACATGTTTTAGTTTTACAGATGGTCACTGATACATTGTTTAAAATAGTTAAAAAAAATAAGTCAGATATAGTGGCACACACCTGTAATTGCCACTCTCAGGGATCAGAGATGGGAAGACCGAGGATCCAAAGCTAGTATGGGCTATATGGTGTGACCTTGTCTAAAACAACAAACCAAACAAAGAAGAAACCAAGTAGAGAAATCCTGGAATCAATGCAGATGTTCAACAATAAGGGGTTGATTATATAAATTGCCCATTCATGACGCATCATTAAAAAGAAGAGAGACTTATAAATAATGAAAGTATTCTAATACATTGGGTAACTGAAAAGAAGGAAATTGTGAAACATATTAATACGTGTAAATTTTTAAACCAAAAAAGATTTATTTGTAACAATAAGTACCAAAACAACACCAATGATTGTGATAAAATTAGGGGTGTTTTTTAATTATTTCCTTTTGTTCAGGGATATTTTATGAGGCAAAAGGAACTAAGGAGGAAAAAGCTCCCCTTCTGTTTGTTAAAATGAGAATAGCTTTTGGGGAAAAGATAGCATAAACATATCTACAAAGACAAATTAACAACCAATTCCCATTTAAAGATTTTCCCTACTTCCCTTTGCTCATTTTCTTTCTCACACACAGCTTGCAGAATGGACACACATTTGTGAGCTAGTGTGAGCTAGTGTAAGCTAGTGTAGCTCTTAATAAATGATTCATCAGTGTTCTATGCACTAGTGAATCAGGCCATTTCAGATCCAGTATGAAAACCACTTGTGCGTCCACTTGAGGCGCTGCTCCTCCCTGCATTGTGTCAGATAGGAAATCTTAAGGTTTCTAAAAATCCATGAAGACACATCAGCTTTAATCTGATCACTTCAGCTGGCTGAAGCAGGGTCCTCAATGCCTTTGAACATCTCCCTTAGTCTACCTCAGTATCTATTGTGAACTTGTACACATTAGTCGATGTCTCTAGACTCCAGTATCCTAACTGTACAACAAGGATGTATCTGTTTCTCAGCAGTCTCACAAGGTTTAGATATGTTACACATACAGTTCACAAAAATAGTCATGTGTATAATGTATTTTTAGTAATTAACCATCCTTAAAATCAATAGGTAATACCCATGATAAGTGAGAGGACAATGTGTACCAGATTTAGGAGGGGGTTTTGGTGTAGACATGTATAGAGCTTTCAGACATACTCCCCTGTAGTCATCCTACTTACTGAAGCAGGAACCTCATCAAGCTGCCTCCCACCGTGGTTGGAAACAAGAATGCCTTGGACATTGTGTTTCACTGCTAATTCTGCATCCTCTTTTGTCAAAATCCCTTTGAGGATAATGGGCAATTGAGTCATACTCTGAAACAAGGAGAGATCATTCCAGCAGAAAGATGCACTTGGAGAAGACGTGGGAGAAGATAGTGTGGAATTTCTCTGTAGGGAATGAGAAGGTCAGTGTTAGTCCCAAATGCTCACATCACTTGATTCACTCAAAAGATGAGACAAACCTGGAGCACTCATATTTATAAGCTATGAAACCCGAACAACACTACCCAACACTGATTCTAACTCCTTCCTCTCACAAAAGCTTTATAAAGAATTTCTACTTCAATGACTTATTCCTTGACCATTAATCAATGTCTTTGCTTGATAATTACTCTAGGATTTGGAGACATAATGACAGATCAGACAAATCTATGCTTTAAATGGGTGCAGAGTTCAGTATGTGAAATGAAGAAGAAAATAGTTACGGGTCAGTTTGACGTTTTCTTTCTTTTTTCTTTATCTTTCTCTCTTTTCTTTTTCTTTTTTTGTTGTTGTTGGTTTTTCGAGACAGGGTTTCTCATATAACAACTCTGGCTGTCCTGGAACTTGCTCTGTAAACCAGGCTGGCCTCACACTCACAGAGATCTGCTGACTCTGCCCCCCAAGTGCTGGGGATTAAAGGCATGGGCCATCACCGCCCGGCTACTTAGACATTTTATTTTTGAGCTATGCATGGACTAATAAAACCAAAGCAATAAGAACCTTAAACTAGCCCTGCCTCATAGTATGCAGCAGATTTCCTTAAATTTTGATGTGTCTCCTGGTTCAAGTACACCCAGAAAAATCATAGCTGCCCACAGGCTGAAAAGACCAATGTCACTATAGCCATGATTTTCACTCTCAGGGGCATGACATCTCTTTCCACGGTTAGAATTTAACAACGGAAGTGTCCTTTGTAGTCCCTTAATTGAATGGTTTCCAAAAGATGTGCTGTGGAGCCTTGATGCTTCTGGAGGAGTTTTAAGTTTCAAGGCAGCAGATTGGGCCCCAGCTGGCTGGACTAGCTAGCTATACACCTGTGCTGTGAGTGTCCTCTTCTGAGAGTCAGTTTGTCTATATATTCCATGCAAAATAATCACTTCCTGAGTCCATCATGAAATGGAAAATATTAGATGAATAGTTTGCTCTCCAGTTCCTGCACAGCTCCTCTCTAAGGCTCTCCTGTCTCCCAACATCACCCTTGGTTGAGCATCTCTGATGACAGGCAGAGCAGCTTCAGAGATGGGAGCATTTGGTCTTAAGTTCTGCCTGGAAGCTCTGGGCAGCTGAAACCTGGTCAGCCACTTTAACTGCTACCCCTCTAGTATCTGCCACAACAAGGCAGGTAGGGGAAAAGAAGGCATGAGAGAGGGAGGAAGGACAGGAGAGATGGGTGATGAAGGAAGGAGGGGAGGAGAAGGAAAGAGGGAGACACAATAATGGTCTCTCCTCATTCCAAACTCTTCTTATAAGTAATGCCCTTTGAGTCTGGTATCTTTCTCACCTCTTTAGGTGATCGGAGGTCCGTGAGTTTTACTTTTGCCTCTAAATTCAGTTGGTTTCTTATATTCCATCGCCTTTTGCCAAGTATCGGTACATCTACAGTGATCACCAAAGCTTTGAAACCCAAGGCTTCTACTCTCCGAATCAGCTGCCTGTTGAGCTCCCAATCTGACTGCACATAGAGTTGGAACCATCTGAAGCCTCTGGGGGCAGCAGCAACAATGTCTTCCAGGGTACAGCTGGCATAAGTGCTGGTGATATAGCAGACATCGGCTTCCTGAGCAGCTGCAAAACAGAGGGTGGGAACCAGTTTGGAAGGCAGAGTTTTTTGAAGTAGCCTCTGACCAGGTAGCCCAGTGAGTGTAGAGAAAGCCCAAGTTCATTCTACTTCCTCACAGGGCAGGATAAGAGATTGTTTGGTTCAATAGAGAGGCCTAGTGTTTGTGTTCTCTTCTGTGTAAGCTGCTCTGTAAACCTTGGTTTTGATGATGAAGATTTTCTAACAAGAGATGTTACTGAATCCCCAGAGATGCCATTGGGTGTATTATACCCTTCAGGCAGGAAAGTAAATGTCCTATGAGTTCCTGGGTGGAAGAGAGGGGATTTAGAGACAGGAGATGTTCCACTGCAAAAGCATGAGCTTTGTAGTGGAAGATGAACATAACTGAAAATAAGAAGACTGAGTCCCACTCCTCCTTCCCTATGTGGCTTTATTTGTTCCTCTATTTATCAAATGGAAAAGGTAGAACTGTGTGTCCTGGCTATAAAATTATTATTTCTCATTTCCTGCCTTCATCATGTCAGTGTCTCCCCAGCAGGTTAATCTCACTATGGAGCTACATTAGTGGCCAGAGAATTTGGCCCAATCAAAAATTAATGCCCATGCATGAATTTTCACAGTCTAAATTCAAGGCTAAGCAAACAATGGCATAAACGATCCCTTTGTTATCATTATTTTTTTTCAAGACAGGGTTTCTTTGTGTATCTTTGGCCATTCTGGAACTAGCTCTGCAGACCAGGCTGTACTTGAACTCACAGAGGTCCTCCTGCATCTGTCCCCCAAGTGCTGGAATTAAAGGTATTCACCACCTCTGGCCCATTTTGCCACCATACTTAATTCCAACAAGATTGATGCCCCCTAAGGGCTTTATGTAAGAAGTCTTGATGCTCCAGCTGTCCCTTCTCAGGGTGAGGCCTCTCGCTCTCTTCTGGCCTTCTGGAAAGGGATGATTCATACCTCTGGCTGTGCTCCTCTCTCCATCTGGCCAGGCCATAGAGTGAAAAGCCGTGGGTGTGATGCAAATGGGGGCCGAGATCTCCTGCCCTTGGATTGTAGTTCTGGTGTCCACCTCTGACACATCTCTCAGGTATCTGGGGCGGAGGCGGATTCTGCACTAGACAATAAGGTGGATTATTCTCTAGCATGATGATGCTTTCTGCAGCTGGGTCCCTGGTTCCTAATGAGGGTCTGAGCAGACTTAGATCTCTAAGCCCTTGGTGGGATTAGTTGGTTGATCTTGAGTAAGCAGTGTAGGCTCAGGGGGAGGCTAATCACCAGGAAACCATTTCCCCACATGAACCCAGCAACCCCTGAGCTGTTGGTGAACCAGAGTCCCCCACAGCCTCTGTGTTGCTCTGTCAGAGAACTGCTCCCTTGGCTTGCCACTCAGTGTTAGATGCTTAATTTAGTCTTTATCAGCAGTGACTAGACAGGGAAAGAAAAGGAAGAAAGGAATTTTAGGTGTCCCCAGAAAGAAAGACAAGGCAATTAAAAGAATCCAAATCCTAAGAAAACAATCTTGTCTCCCGACTCCCCCTGCCCCGACCACCTCAGAAGATTGATTCATTTGACTTATACACTGCTGTAGGGAAGGTAGGGGAGTCCACAAATGACATCAAAAACATTATTCGATGACAGATAGAAGCTTGGCTATAGCTATGGTTGGTCGACGTATGCTCCAGCCCTTAGTGTTCAAGTCCAACTCTCACCCTAAACACCCTTGGATCTTATTTTCTCCAAACTTGAGTCCCTTCCCCTCCATCACATTTTTCTCCTCCAAGGCCGAGGTTTTAGGAACCCAAGAGCTCCAGATCTACATGCAGGATTCTCTGTCAGACACCCCGGCTGGTCCTGTTCCATCTTCACTTGTTTACAAAGTTGCTGGCATACAGAGAACTGGTAACTCACTTCCCCTAGATCTAAGAAGATTCTCTCTACAAAACTTCTCCCCAGCTCCCTAAACCTCGTCCCCCACGCCATGATAAACCAGCACAGAAGCCAGCCATTTTCCTGTATATGTTGTGTTTGCTAAAGACAGACACCAGAACTGTCACCGTCTAAGGAGTTCTCAAGCAATGCACATTAGAGTAACAATGCAAAGGATAAAGAGAAGACCTTTTAAATGCTGCAATGTTTTCCTTGTATGTGATGCCCTCATCAGCTTCTCCTTCAATAAAGTCCCACGATGACTTAGATAGCAACTCTTGTGCACGTGCCTCAAAGTCTGCCACACACACCAAAGACATTTCTGGACCTTCAAAAAACAAAACCCAAACCAACCCAATGAGAACACTGTGGACATAAAAGGGAGGCTAAAGGGGAACCAGAGTGTGAAGCTGTTTAGATACAGCATCTATATTTTGGTTTTCTTTAACTGAATGATTTTGCTGCTGACCCCAAACCAGAAGACCTCCATCCTCTCATGACCACTCCCAACACCTGATTATTTGGTCTTCTGAATCTCTACCATGGCTGCTTCCTCTGTTCTACATACCCTGTATTAGATCTGGTTGAGGCTCTACCACATCTTAAGAGATTACAACCTTCCTCCAAGTGTCTCTTGCCTCCTCATCTTCTTCCAGGTGGCTGAGATCTTCATGAAGTGGAAGTTTCTTTGCAGCCCTGGTGTCTTCATGCACTCATATCATCTCCCTTGCCCCTTTCCAGGATCTGCCTCCTAACAGCCTACTAAACTTCATGTCTCAGTGACATTACTTTCCCTTGGCATTCTCATCACTTTGTGAAAAATCAGGTCTGAATTGATATCAGTGGGAGTTTCCAGGAACCCTAGGATGTCTGAATTATCCAAGAGTATGGACAACATGGTGAAAGCAATTGTTTTGTGGTTCCTCCTTGGCTGGATGATTGGACACATTGCCAAAATGTCACCGCCTTCTACTTCTTTGCCAAGAACACATATTGCTCCCATTTATTACCATCAATGATCTGAAACCTACAAACAGTACATGGTACTTCTGATACAAACACACTGGAGAATGAAGAAGGCAGAATTTAGGGGTCACCAATAATTTCTCCAATAGGAACAAGGGCAGTGAGATCAGTAGTTGCAAAGATGCCTTAGACACTGGGGTTGCTCACAAAATTCAGGGATCTTACATAAGAATATTCTGGAAGGAAAGGATGGAAAATGTACACTTTAAAACTCTAGCTAACCCTAGTACAAGAGATAACAGTGTAAAAATTACCACTAACATAAAAGTAGAAACCAAAGGACTTCTAAGTTATTCGCTGAGGGAAAGGTATATATCTCAGGAACTCACTCTTCTATCAGAATGGCAAAGGATCAAAACGCCAGATGAAAATGTGGGGTGCTGAATACCGTGGCTTGGTTAGAGATGAGGCAGAACTGGCCTGAGGGCAACTGGAGCCAGGAAAAAGTCTGGAGAAGCCCAACAGAGAAGTACCACATAATCCCTACCTACAGGGCTAAACAGATTTGTTCTGTGACAAAAATCAGGGTCCCTGGGATGTGGAAGCTTTAGACAGAGATTCGGAAGAGGCACTAGACTTCACCTATAGAGCTTTTCATAGGTAACCTTGTCAGTGGATGAGCAGGAACCCACTGAGGTACTGAGTTAATCTGACGGAATTCAGCACCATATTTAATTTAACTCACCCTACCCACCTAACTCACTGATGAATCAAACAAATAACAAAGACAAACAAACAAAAAATCCAAAACCCAAGGCAACTATCTTGGAATTGCTTGTTCATAGTTTTGTGTGCATAGAAAGGTTAATATAGCAGCCCTTAAAATGTTATTGCTCAGAAGACCTGCTTTCAAGGCTACATCTAGAAATTTTGATATCAGCAGGGCCTGATAAGAATGATTTAATGTATCTGAACTATTTTTACAAACAATGTGATTTATGCTACATCTGCTTTCCTCCTAGGAGCCTAGGACTTTGGTACAGAGAGTAATCACATGACCAGCCCCCAAAATGAGCCTGTAGGTGCAGAGTCGCTAACGCATCTCATCTTATCATTTGAGGATTTAATGCATTTCTTGGAAGCTTAAATTTGTTTTATTTTTTTTCCAGACATTTTCCTGTCCTAACTTTCCTTTGCATCCTTTCACTGAAATAAGCCATAGCCTCAACTATATGCCGAGTTCTGTGAATTCTCCTGTGAATCCACTGATAGACACATTGTACCTCTTGGCTTTAGGATAGCACGGCACTGAATTACTGTGTAGATGGGTTGATTGCTTCAATTTAGTATTCCTTTGTGTGCCATGTCTCTGCTTTGATGGAAAGGGTTAAAATTCTAGCAGATTTTGATTGTTGGTATCCTACACATTAAGTGTCTATGGAAATGTTGTTGTAACCTGTCTAGCATGGAAACTGCACAGAGCTGGAGTATAATCCAAGAGAAACAGCTCAGAGTTGCCTGTCCATAGGACTGTGATTATGGAATTTGAAAGCTGTTTGACAGTAAGCGTTAGTCTCAACATCCTGAAATGTAACCAAAGCTGTCTTGTTTTCATACACCTTTTAACCTTTCTACTTGCTAGTAGCTGTCAGCATCTCTGCCGAGTAGACAGAGGCATCAAGCTAATGGGCTAGTAATCTTTCTTTTTGATTCAGAGAGAATGAGGCTCAGAAAATAGGACACTTGTGGATGATTAGACAGTAAAACAGTCCAGGCAATGACTTGGGAACTCTGTCTCCTGTTAGTCATGAAAGATAGACGCTTGCCTCCAATTCAACAGTAAAGAGCAACGTTGTCACTGTAGTGTTTTAAAATACAAATTTTGTGCAAAATTCATATATAGTGTATAAAGAATATCTCTAAATTGTGATCAGTAATTTATATTACATTTAAGAAAATTTTGGAAGCTAAGTTATCCATTTTTCTTTTTATGACATATGTAAAGGTCGATGGAGTACTGAGTTCATTATTCTCATTAAAAGAACAATGTAGGAGTTACTGTTGAAGGGGATTGATCATACCTTGCCATTCAAAGTGTCTCCAAATTTGAGAAAGAACTTAGTGTAGTGTTTTTGTATATTGCAGTCTGCTTCACAGCAGAGTTGAAACCAGAAGCTGAAGGGAGGATTCTAGTCACCCAAAGGTTCCTTGGGTACCCACTTCCTCTGTCTCCCTCATGAGCTTTGCTTCTGTTCTTTCTGACTCTGACTGTCCTGAAAAACATGCGGGGCATAAGGAAAGCCTTTTGCCCACAGATCACATGTGAAATGTTGTTTCGGGAACTTTATCTCCTCGAGCTTCTTCAAGCTCCTTCAGGATTGAAAATTAGAGAGAAACCATTCAGAAATGAGTGATGATATGAAAATCCAAGAGCAAGGACATTCAGGGTATCTGCTGCTTGGTCTGCTGTTCAAACTCTGATCCCTGACACAAGATGTAAACCCGGAGCTGACTGTCCTGCTGAGGAAGAGCTTGTTTTGTTCAGAGTGATAATCAGAGCTGAGTCAATTATCTTAGAGAACTCACTGTTTTCCTATGAAGATTTTATAGGTTGCATGCTGCTTTTACTTGAGAAACTCTGGAGTATCAGATTTTGCATTTGATTGGAAAACTCTGGTGTTCTCTGTGGGGAACAAAGCAAGAATCATGGGGGTACTGGGAGATACAGGGGAGGAGAGGAACAGTTTGCCTCACTGTAGGCTTCCTTGGTGATTCAGGATGTGTCCTTTAAGGTCCTGGTCTCTTGGAATTTAGGCCAAGATTTGGAATGTCAAAGATAAGAAAAAGGCCACAGTTTGGGAGATTATAGGGCCCAAGGTTGACTAAAACTCTGTTCCAACCTCAAGGATTGATGTTGCAAAAGGCAGGATAACCTTTAAAGCCTTTAACCTCAGCAATTATCTTTTTAAAAAGCAGCAATAAATTCATGGTTCAGTTATTTAGGAAGAGTGTAGCATTATGGGGTTCTGCATGCTTTCAAGCATAAGGGCCCTAGGACTGAGGGCTTGATCCTTAAGGCAAACAGTGTGGATCACAAGATCACAAGGGATAATAGCCCTAGGATTAGGCAGAGGAGGCCCCCGTACAACCATAACAGGAGAGGTATGTGACAGGAGAAGGATTGGATAAGTAACAGGTCTGCCCTCAGAACAATAACAGGGGTGCTGTGAGAAACACGGTGTCACATTTGTTTGAGAGTGGGGGATCAAAGTATGTGTTTAGTCAGAGCATCTATTTAGTCAGAGGCTGCAAGAATTGATCAGGTGCTTCAGTCAGCCTGGAACACTTCTAGTCAAATCTCTGGAACATCATGTTAAAGGCACAGGACCCTTTGGGCCATGATGATCATTCATTTATTTTATAAGGCAGTGATTTCACCCCTTCACCCCAGTGTCCTTCAACTTCTCATTGTCTTGTACTTCTTCCCTGTAATGTCACTTCCTTTCTTATCCTGTGACCATGTGCTGCCATGGAGAGTGTGCTATTTGGGTGTTTCTGAACTCTCTCTGCACCTGTGCAAGGCACTGATTCGCGCTTCTGTTCTACTGCAGGGGCTTGTGTATCACAGCTCTGGGACACGCTCATCCCAGAGCCCTTGAACACACTCGCTGAAGCATCTTGGCATTCCTTACCTTTCTGCCAAATTCTCCTTCCCTCCATGGTGTCAGGAATTAAAATTGTTGTTCTCCATAAACAACATTCATGATAAATAAAAGAAATTATGTATACAATTATTTTTTATACTTTGCCGTGTTGAATAATGACCACCAACACAACAACATTGCTTTGGAGCATTTTGTATTGTGACTATGCCAATTTTCAGAAACTTTGTTAGTCAAGGGGGTGTTTTCTGTCACTTAGAATCCAATCAATACTTTAATATCATTTTGTCTATGGGAAAACTACGTTCTGAGCTCCAAAGGAATAACTCCCAAGTAGAGTGTTGCTGCCCAGATGTGTTGATAATTGTTTGCTTTCTATAGGAGTTAGAGACACTGATAGAGTGTTTTGGAAGATTGAGGGATTTCCTGATGCAGTTTAAGCAATGAGATAACTTTATTATGCATGTTTGGAACAATATGATGGTTCCTTTATAATAACAACAACAACAATAACAATAATGATGATGATGATGATACATTGCAACCATTTGTCTAGTGCTCCACGACACTCAACACACTGTGTGAGTGGCTTAGGTCCACTAATGTTTTAATTCTTTTTGTCATCCCCACAATAAAATATTATTATCCACCATTTCACAAGTGAGGGAAAGATTAAAAGACTTCATACAGAATCACAT